GTCTTGCCTGTATTTTTTATATTTGATTATTTCTGCCTAAACATATTCATTGCCCTTGTTTTGAATCCTGTTTTTAGCCCATTTCTACAATTCAAGAGATTATTTTTTTTAATTCCAGTGTCTTCCATCATACTTGCAGGTCTTCTAGATGTGTCATCTGGAAACATGACAAGCAGAGTCATAACATTTCTTTCTTGAAGTGACCTGTTGCCTTGTCCAATGTTCACAAAATCCCCATAGCCCCTAACTGGTCAAATACTTTGGAATATCTTGCTGTAAATGTCGCTGAGAAACTGCCATGTATCCTACAGGACATTCAGAGAAATGAATCCAGCTGTTTTAAAATTTAGGCTAGCAGCTGTCTCACCTTTCTAAAAGTCACCCTATACTCTCATCCTCAGTGTGCAGTGATGCTTTTTTGTCCTGAGTTTAGGTTATTTTCTTTGTACCTTGAAATAATGATGGTATCCACGTTGATTTGTCATAAGCTGATTTTCCCCCAATCTTCCCAGTCCTCTAAATATTTATGGGCCTGTTAAAGAAGCAGCTTTGTTTATTCTCATTGAATTTGTTCATTGTATGAAGTCAGGCATGCATGTGTAACTGTTTACAAAAGTGTGACCTAGCACTGTAAATTTCCTAACCTACTCCCAATAAAAAACCCTAAAAAAAGAAGGCTATAATCACAGTTCAGGAGGGATTATGTACTGATCAAAGTCAAAGCGGCAGCTCCATTAAAATTTGTGGATTGCACAGGCTTCAGAATACATGGCCTGGCCTAATGATGAAGAAAATTGTATTTTAAACCCCTAATTCTTTCTCAAAAATACTGTCTCATATTTTCCTTAATATTTTTCCAGAAGTTGTGTACACCTTCTCTCAGTCACTACTCCAAAACGCCTATCTTTGCACAGAGAAGTATTGTCTTCCATTAGTACAACAAAGGCTTTTCCCCATGCTTTTCCTTAAAGACTAGGCAGTGGAGTTGGCATTTGATTCATAAGCTTTTGATCCATACTTAATCCTAGGGTGGCATGCATCCAGAGCATGCAGAGCGTTGGATATTGTGTACCGAATGAAGTAGCTGTTGGTGTACAGCACAGCAGGAGGCTCTCTCATGTTCTCAAACAGCAGCTTTAGAGTCTGTCAGTGTTCCCTGGGTGGGTCTTTGGGGAGAGAGGCTGAAAGAGTTCCTGAGAAGCAGGTTTCCTACCCTTTCTTTGTGGTGGGTTTGCAGTGAAAGTAAAATTCAGCGATAGGTTTTTTGGTTTTCATCCTAGAGCTACTTAGGCTGCATCATCATTTCATGGCAACATAATCCTGTAAAATATGATGTGTAATTGCTCGTTTCAAAATGTTCTCTTACACCACTGTAGATCAGGAGAATGTCCTCTCAAAACAGTGGAATTATTCTCATTTTATTCAGTGAGAATATAATTAAAGAGACAGGAAAGCAAAGAAATGTAGCAGTAATGAAATACAACTGATGACAGAAATGTTTCACATCTTTCCCTGCTTACAAGAAAGATATATGATGTAATCCTGATTGCCTGTAGGCTTACAGTCTAGGTGTAAAACAGTCCAGCTCTGGGGAGATGCTCAGGAGTGTGACTTTCTATGGCAAGCTTCAGGCAAATCTGATGTCCCATTTCATTCAGTTATACTTTAAGATGCAGAGAAGGATATAAGAGGCAAGAGAGTCCAAAGAAAAGAGATGGAGGTTATGCTGGATCACAGTTGCAGACCAAAGTACTCTAGAAAGAGTCTGAATCATCTCAGAAACTTCTTTGGAAAGGAAAGGGCTTTGCAAATACTAAGAGTGGTGCAGTCTTAGCTCTTGTCTACTGTTGTGCTTTACAAGACCTGAGTCTTTCTCCGCAGGCAAGCCGAGGCAGCTTTGCTTCTGCTGTCCAGTTCCATGATTTGGCAACTTGAAGAGACTAGCAAGCTATTTTCTAAAAAAACCCTCAGTCATCAAGAGAGAGCAGGACATCAGAATTACTAGTATAACATGAAAGGAGTGATTGATAGGAAACATCAACAATTCCTGTTAAGCAGAGCAAATGATAATAATATTCAGAGGATAAAGTCAAAATAACACTGAACCTTTGGCACTTTCAGGAAGTGCCAATTGAGCAGTTGTGTAGGGAGAATATCTTTGCAAAAGTTTCTAAAATTGCTCTAGAAACCCTCAACCTTGTTGAAGCAGGGGCTCAGCTCACTTGGGCAAAACAGGTTATTATCAGTTTAGGCATTTTACAGGATTGTCTGTGTCTTCTATTGCTTCTCACACATAAGTCTTGAAGTGTGTTATAGGGTGGTCAATATTGTCATTCCTGCTCACCTGAAAGGCGAAAAAAAGCTGTGCTGAAAGGCCAAATAAGCACTCAGAGTTGATAATTTGCCTGAGGTTACCCAGAAGCAGAGAGAGGACTCCAGAGTGCCTGTTTACTACATTATTCACTTGATCAGTGTTTCCTGAGAAGAATCCACCCGGGGAAGGTTGGCACAATATATTCACACGGACAGAGATCACATCAAAGAGTTTAACACCTCAAATTGACAAAGGCGAAGCAGGAGCACAGAGGGATGCATTAATTTTCTTCTAGTCTCACGGCAGGTTAACAGAAGAAGCATGGCTCCAAGCCAGGTGCCTTGCCTTGCTGGCGAGCAGCCCAGCCCCGGGCCAGGCTGGCTCAGCCAGGGTCTGTGGTCACAGTCTCTCCGCCTGAGCTGACACCCTATTTTCATCTGGAGGTGGAAGAGGGAAGTGATGATATGAGATACATTTATTTTGCACACCGGTGAAGTTCTAGGAACAGAAAACAGAAAAACTCTCTGGCAAAGGGGAACAAAACAAGAAGAGAATTTAGAAATGCCATACCCTGTATTTCTTATTTGGCAATTTGTACTTCAGAGTTAAAACAATTTCATATGTGCCCTTTGAAAGCGTGAGGCTGCATGCGTGAAGAAAGTACCTATTTCCCTTATGTTTTGAGCAGGGAGCCATACGTTTTAAAAATTGAAAAGTACAATTAGTCTTGGAGAATTAAATCTGCCCATCTAGGTACCTGACTAGCTTTCTCACAGAGATGGCTGTCCCATAATGAAGCTGAGGGAACAAGGCTTAGAAATGTAAATATTAGTAGGTGTGCAGGAACATAAATTAGGAAAATTGACAATTTTAATTAGTTTCATTTACTTTCATTTGCTGAGTTCCCAGGCTGACATCAGAAGTTACATCTGTTGGGTTACTAGAAGGGTAGGGTATGGAGGCAGAGGGGCATGGGGACAGGATAGGCTCAGTCCCCATGTTGACTGTAGGATCTTCAATGACAGCATATTATCTGATGTAAGAAATCCCTAATAGAAACAGGAGCTTCCCAACATCTCCCCCAAACATGGAAAGTACCATCTGGGGGTAGCTGTCAGCTGAGCCGGAGCTTCCAGGCCTCTGGACACTTAAATCACATCAGTATTACAGACACCTCTGGATTCTCTGATTGAGGTTTTCCTATTTTGCTTGGAAGGATTATGGATGGAAGGAGGATTATATGATAAAATGAATCATGTGAGAGTGATGGAATGCCTACACGATGAAAGAAAGGGTGACTGGAGGAAACCTTTTAATATCAGTGGATTGTGTGGAATAGAAAAATACAGATTTAAGACATTATGGTGCCTAACACTGTGCTTAGATGCACAAGGTTTGTGTGTTGTGCCTGTTTTGACTATGAGATCCTTGGGGTAGGGACTGTGGGTTTTTTAGATTACCTAGCACAGTATTGCCCTGGTCTTTGTGCAGTCCTGAAATGAAAACATTAATGATGATTGTTTTTCATGGCAGAGGCTATGGCAGGCTGTATTTACAAAGAGATTCAGTTTATCTGATTTAATTATTTTCTGCTTAAACAAAACATGTTCATCTTAGTTTTCTGTTTGGTTTTGTTTTTTTTTTTTTTTTTTTTTTTTTTTTTTTTTTAAATCCTATATTCAGGTGAGAAATATCCCTTTGAAGTATTTGACAGTAACTTTTGTGTGACCGAGTAAGTTAATAAAAATCAGAATGTATGTAGCCCCAAATGTCAAATATGTCATTAAAGTTGGTTTTCAATGTCCATTTCAGTCAGGTAGTTTTGTGCTCAACTGCCATCATAGAGCAAGAGGTAACAAGCCAGGGCCTCATTGGTATCAACCACTGGACAGCACTCGAAACATCTAGCCATTTAACAGGCAACTGCAAAATCTATTAACCAGTGTGACGAACCACCTGCTACTCCTTTCCTACTGTTCCTTCTTCTATTCTGCAAATACAAATTACATGAATCTATATCACCAAGAAATCTGCAGACTCTAACGGAGTATCAGCCTTCAACTCTGCTGCATGTATGAGAAGGCAAATAAGAAATAGGAGCACTAGTACACTTTTTCCATGCCATTAATTATTTTATGGAGTTCTTTCTCACATCTGTTCTTATTTGATCCCTCTATAACATGGCCACATTTGACTTAGTAGCTGTTTTGCTGAAAAAGAACGGAAGGTATTTCGCCATTTCACTAACCTGCTTTCAGATCGTTGTCATTTCCCTTTAATTTTGTGCTTTTTATAATTTATAGCTAAGTAACAGAGAAGGAGCTACTCTGGAATTTGCTTTTAAGTCCAGGTACATTCCAGGAGCAAAATTTAGAGGCATTATTTACACACAATTCTAAGAAACACATGTTATCGTGGTTGCTTTCTTATTTAATTGCGTTGAAATAGAAGCCAACATCTGATTTGGGAATACTTTTGTGTCAGTATAGGCTATTTTCTGACTCACCTCGGTGAATAGACTATGTGAGTCTCATTGCTTGAATAGGTGAGTGTAAGAGGCTTCTGTATAAAAGGCTACAGTTTATGTTTATCATTTTAGCTGAAGAGGGAAGATGGGGAAAGTAGAATGGGAATCCACATCTATCAGCTAATTTTTCCTTTTCTAAACTCTATTTTTATTTTGCAGGTGATGGAAATTAAAGGACAAATGATTCATGTGCCAGAATCAAATTCGATTTTGTTTCTGGGTTCCCCCTGTGTGGACAAGCTGGATGAACTGATGGGCCGAGGACTCCATCTTTCAGACATTCCTATCCATGATGCTACTCGCGATGTCATATTGGTTGGGGAGCAAGCAAAGGCCCAGGATGGCTTGAAAAAACGAATGGATAAACTGAAGGCAACACTAGAATGCACACACCAAGCCTTGGAAGAGGAGAAAAAGAAAACAGTAGATCTCCTTATTTCCATTTTCCCTGAAGAAGTGGCTCAGCAGTTGTGGCAGGGGCAGCAGGTTCAGGCCAGGAAGTTTGATGATGTCACCATGCTGTTCTCAGACATTGTTGGCTTCACTGCCATCTGTGCACAGTGCACACCCATGCAGGTCATCAGCATGCTGAATGAACTCTACACGCGATTTGACCATCAGTGTGGATTCCTGGACATCTACAAGGTAATAGCTCAAGTCCTAAGTTAGCAAAATCTAATTGAAACTAAGACAGAAAAAAATCCCAGTAGCCATCTTCCTAAATTACAGACCTTCCCTATAAAACCAGAAAGGCAATATTTTTATTTTGCGTGAAAAAAATAAATCTGAAATATTCCCATTGAAAATCAAATACTTTGATGCTGAGCTGTCATCATGGTTCCCCATAGGAATATATGCCTCATATTCCCATTTTCCTATAGGAACGTACACATCCTGTATTATAGTGTGGTTTCCTTTAGGTGACATGTCGGCCACAGTGTCCTGAGGGTGATGAAGTGCACAGTGATGATCCTAGCCCAAGCTGCAGGTCCTGGAAAGCACTCAAATACTTTCTGTTTCAGCTGAAACTTGAATGTTGGGGTTTAGGTGCTTATCTTTCCCCTGAAAGAATTCAAATTTTCCATAAAGAGCAACGTACTGGAAAAACAGGAAGAGGACAGGAGATGTCCATTCATAGTAAACTGAATGAGTGGGACATGGCACTGGGGTGCCATGCTCCTTTGCTGCTCTGCAGAAAAGGGGATTTCGCATGTGGTGGTCCTGCTAGAGACTTCATCATCTTCACTTCTCTTCAGTGGATTTCGTGTCCAGTATGTATTTGAGAGAAAAAAGAGGGGAGGTAGAACTTAATAAATGCAGTTAAGATACTATCTGTGTAATTATGCTGTGAAATCTACAGAGAATATGTTTTGCATATGGAATACCTTTAGTTTTGTGATAGGAAAAGCAGAGCAAATTTCTTTTTATAACTGAATGCACCAAAGGAAAAAAATGTAGTTGTAAAATTATATATTGATTTTGTTTTCTGTCTGAGGCTTGCAAACTAAATCACCAGCTTTCAACCTGTTTCAAATAGTATTTGTTGATAGGCTGTAGAGAAAAGGTCTTCACAAGAGTGCTGTCCCTTTAATTTTTACCCTTTCATACACTTTAAAAGGCATCCAAAAATATTAATTACCCACCTAAATAATAATTGTGGCTGAAAAGTTACAATACATACCACAGATAGAACTGAACACGGTATAGATATAGGTTGGTAGGACAGTATACAGAAGGAAAAGATCACACTGTAAATAAGTTTTGTGCTCCTGGGCTAGGGGTTTGTATTGCTAATCCTCAGAAGCCAAAGGCCACGTTGGGAGAGGACTGCAATGGAAGGTACCAACCCTCATTTGAAAATTGTTACGGTGATATAGTCAGAAAAGATTGGAAGTTTGATCTCGGTTTATATTTATCTGATGTTACTGCACTGGATCTTGAGCCAGCTCTGAGAACGGGACTTGAGGAACTTCTGACCCACAGTCAAGAGTAATATCTAGTGACCCTGTTTCACATGCTTTATCTGGTACATGGGTGTAGTTAGTGTTTTCCCACATGATTAATTTTAGTTAGCTGTTTTGAGGCATTCAGGACATTCTTTGTTGAAAACTATGGTTGCATGGGAATAGGAAATAAAGTATGTAAAACTCTATGACCTGTTTGGGAGGAAGGTTGGCTGAGTCCTGTGAGAACACTTAAGAAGGAATATTTATACATAGGTCATGAATGTTATATCATTTAGACCATGGCTTTCTGCCTTTCACCTAGCTTTGTGGCTCCTTAGATAGAAAGATGTTACTGTATGGAAGTACCCTCCTGACCAGTGAAATAAGATGACGGCTCCTGAGATAGGCAAAATAAGATTTATGCATTCAGAAAATGAATAAACAATCCAAAAAGTTAAGACCCCCATATAATTCTATGACCAGAGGAGTAAACAAAGCCTATTTTTCTATGGAAGGATGTTTTATACCTTTAACACCCTTTCTCCACTGTTACTGCCTTAATACAGCAAGTTCTTTCTCAGATCCTTTCATCCTGGGTTTTCCTCCATCTCCCTACTGCCCCTGTCCCCTGAGCCTCCCTATATATCCCCTGCTTCCCTCCACAGACCGTCAATGAGCAAGGCAGTGTGCACTGTGGCTATTTTGGAGCTGTATGTACCTTTTTTTCTCCCCCCAAGTATTTTTTTTTCATTTATTTTTTAACCAGAAATGTAAGAAAGTTACTGCGGGGTTAGGTGAAAATGACTCAGTTGAGCATTACAGAAAGACAAAACTCAGGCAATGAACCCTTTTTCTTTTCCTTGGAGAATCAGGCTTAAAATAAAATGACAATTCTTTTGAAAAAGCATTTGCACTTTAAAATAAAAATGTGTTTATATCTTTTTCATTTGTTTCAGATGATATTCTGGAAGCTAAGTTTATTGCTAGGAATGATCACCACCACAACAACTGTAATTTTAGAAGTTATTGTCAGGCAGTGAATTTTAGATAGGTAATCACCAATATTTGTACCCACAGCCTGCCTCTAAGATATAGTCCTGTAACTAGGCTACAGAAATTTATCATGGGACCTATGTATACATCAAAACAGATCAATTTTCAAATTTGCTTGTTTTTAAGCAACATGGCAAGGATAATTTGCAAAGATTATTTGGTGAGTACTTCTGAATACCAAATTCACTGTTTTGTAAACAGAAAATTAAGCAAAATTCATTAAATAAATTCCATGCTGTAAATTATTCACCCAGCTTTACTGTTACAGAATTTTGAATTCAGAACCTTGGTGCTTCTAATCTTGGACTCAGACAATGAATGTAATATTTTCAATTGTCTCATACTATTCATTCAGGGATGTTTACAGAGAAATATGGCACAGAAAGAACAAAGATCCTCGCATTTAACAAGTCAGACATAGAGGGCAAGCATAATGAGCTGTTGGATACAGAATAAGAAATGCTTGGAGAGGGCTGAAGGGGGATGAATTAGACTTTGAAATTTCTTTGAAATGAAAGTAGCTATAACTATAGGGAAAGGATATCCAATGGATGGACGCATAGGTAAGAATGACACAGGCAGATGATGGGCTCAGAAAATGAACTTCACAGGAGCATTTTGAATGGATACCAAAGATGACAGATTACATTTGTCTAGGCTGAGGGAGAACACTGCAGTAACTGAGATGCATGGTGATACGAGCCTGGGTGACCATTTTAGCAATCTGGAAGAATCTGTGTTTTAGAGAGTGAAACTTTAGAAAGAATCTGCTTACATATAGCCTTGATGAAAAGATCAAGAGGGACACTCTTGGGGTCATCACAGAAAGGAGATTTGAGAGAACTGAGACGTGGCAATGCATTTGGAAACTGGTGCTGCTGACTGTCTGAACTAATGATATTTGGCTTGGAATTGAGGAACGGGAGAAAAAGATGCTGTCGAGCAGGGATTGCAAATCAAAGCAATGTAGCTGCAGATGCTTGATAAGTTAGTGTCTGTGGACATGCAAGTAGGAACATGGACTCCAGGAGCAGAAGTAATGGGAGGGAGATCTCAGTAAAAGCAGTTGCTTTGGGTAAAATATATACTGGTTGGCCTGACTGTGTCTGTTTTGACCTGTTTTTCTCTGTATGTTCCTGTTGTTTATGAGCCAAGTGCTGGGAAATGATGCTCCAGCTAAACCGTCTCTTTATCAAATAAGCTATTTAGATATGCTGCAGCCATGGCTGCTGGCATTTAAAACTTAACCCTGCAGACTGAAATCTTCCCTGCTTAAGATTCCTTCAGCTTCTGTTTCTTCCTCCAAGTAATATGTCTCTGACATAGGAACATTTTAAATATTTTTTCTTGGTGAGTCCTTTTGGCTGTGTAGGCCTGCTGTCTCAGCTCTTTCCCCCTCAGTTTCCTTTCTGAAACAATCCCATTTCCTTCCCTTGCCCTTAAACTACTGCATGGAGTAAAGGCAGCATGGATTGTGGGTGGTTTTTTGGCCATGCATGCACTGGCTGGGTGGCTATATATGCTGGCTGCATAACACCAAGCCAAATAGAGCAGAACCAGGCCTGCTCTTGTAGGTTTTAGTTTCTTTTTCCTTTCTCTGGACAGTGCAGCATGTGTCCCTGAAGACATTTGCAGCTTTTCCCCTAACACTAAACTTCGCTTTCTATGAAGTGCTGAGTTCCACTTCCCATGTCTAAGCAGAGAGTCCTAAATGTTTTTGACAATGAATATTGTCAGCTGCCAAAATGTCTTTGCTATACATCTTTGTTGTAAAAATTTTAATTGAAAGTTTATTGAGTATTTATTGAATAAGACAATATAATTCCACAGGTTAATTTTATAGTTAGAATTCACAACTTTGTTATGTGAATTTCTGCTTTCTCTTTGGTTTCATTATTTGGCTAAACTGACACTCTCTCCGAGTGGTGCCACACACATGACTCAAAGTCCTTTACCAGCTTCCTTGGGGTTCTCTTTGGCTATTATTCCTGGCAACATTATTTCACTTACTTTACACTGAATGATATTTCATTTTTTCTGAATGATACAGTTAGTATGTCAGATCTTAATTTTCTGATTTTATACACCTTACTCTGGCTACAGCCTTAATTTTTGCTTGTTGTAAAAACCTGGGACTAAAAAAGGGTTGGAAGTCTGGACTGCTCTGCAATCATTCGAGACTGCTGCTCACCAGTTCTGAAAAATTTTGTTTATATTGAGGTTGTGACATAATGCTTTTAGGAACCTGATTTTAAACTCACATTTTCTAAAAATGTCACTTAACATTTTTATACTGGTGGTTTAAGTTGCAGAAATCAGTATTGATTTTACAGAAAATACCAGTACTTTCTCAGTGCCATGACTATCCCTCCTTGAGAACCTATATTTGTACATATTCATATATATGTTCTTAAGCTTACTATCAGTGCTATAATAACTAAAGAATACTGCAATAACAGGAGTCATAAGCTTCAAACTATTCTGAGGTTTTCCAGGCTTTATATTTCATAAGTTAAAAACCATAGCCTCCAAGTTTTCATGTAAAATCTATGGCCACTATTTTTCTCTTCTTTCCATCACTTCTGCCATTTTAATCTTTTAAGTTCAGTGCAACTACATGACTGTTTTGAGGAGGTTTCAAATTCT